CCCCGGTATGCCCATCGAACCAGGAACCCTTTGGTTCACAGGCCAACACTCTAACCACTGCGTACACCAGCCAGGGCAGATTTGTTTGGTTTCACTTTGCTCACGTGGCTGCTAGAGAATGAATTTGCGCCACCCTGCAGGGTCCGCCAAGCTCGGATCTGACTCGGGGTAACAACCGTCATCCTATATCTGCAACCTGGTCTGAAGATGGAAGCCCTCCCTCTGCTCCCATCAGCGGCCCAGCGCCTCTGGGTGCCCACGCCTCGCAGCGAGTTGGCCTCAGACAGCACCTGCTGAATCAGTGCACTCCTCCATTCCCAAGACTTTTCGTAGACATTTGAAAGTAAAAACAAAGAAAATTTGAAATCCTGTCCGATGGACTCACCTCTCAAGCACTAGGTCCCCTTGTGGCCTCCGGCTGCTTCTCCTGGGCGCTCAGTTCCCAGGAGCCGCCAACAGGCCAGGGGTTTTATTAGGCAGGTGGCTCCTCCCACCTGCTCCTTCCTGTCGGCACCACCTAATCCCATCAGGTGTTGACCGAATTAACGGGACTTTCTCAGGTCAGAGGGGTTACCAGGAACAAAGGTGATACTTGTATATGGAAGTTATTTAAGAAAAAAAATGTTTTATTGATTTTTTTTTTAGAGGGAGAGGAAGGGAGAGGGATATAGAGAGAGAAACATCGATGAGAGTAACATCACTGGTCAGCTGCCTCTTGCAGGCCCCCACTGGGGATCGAGCCCACAACCCGGGCGGTGTCCTGACCGGGAAACGAACCGTGGCTGCTTGGCTGCTGGGTCCACACTCAGCCACTGAGCCACACCTGGCAGGGCTGGAAGTTATTTATAAACTAATATTAACAAAATATTGCCATATAGTCCTTCTACATTAGATCTAGAATAATATGTCTATTGAATTGGAATTAGGATTGAAATTGAAAACTGGTCATCATAATTAACCTCACATTTTGTCTGTTTGTTTTTTGCTTAATCCCCTCACCTTCTCACCCACCCCTCCCCTCTAACAGCTGTCAGTCTGTTCTCTGTACCCATGGGCCTGTTTCTATTATTTTATTCACTAGATTCCACATCTAAATAAAAGTATATGCTACTCGTCTTTCTCTGACTGGCATATGTGACTTAGCATAATTCTCTGCAGGCCCATCCATGCTGTTGCAAAAGGTAAGACTTCCTCCTTTTCCGGGCTGCATAGTACTCCCTCGGTGCTGCCTTCCCCCACCTGGGTCCTACCTTTTTTTTTTTTTTTAAATATCTTTATTGATTTCAGAGAGACGAAAGGAGAGGCAGAGAGGGAGGCAGAAACATCAATGATGAGAGTCATTGATCGAGCCCGCAACCCTGGCCTGTGCCCTGACCAGGAACCGAACCCTGGTCGCCTGGATCCTAGGTCGACGCTCAGCCACTGAGCCCCGCCCGGCCCGGCTCAGTCCTGCCTTTTGAACCGCCCTCGGGAGGTCCAGGACTCGCCTGATCGCAGGGCTGTCAGCGGAGAAACCATTCATGTCTCTTGGTGCCTAAGGACATCTGGACGCAGCCTGGATTTTTGATATTAAATAATAGAGAATGTGGCACATCACATCACATCGCTTTCAAGCTTCATGCCAGATCCTGGGGCGGCTACCAAGGAACCAAAACGGAAATTAAGACAGCTTCTGGGGCCGGCCGTGGGCCTGTGCGCCGAAAGGTCGTCGGTTCAACTCCCGGTCAGGGCACATGCCCGGGGTTGCGGGATCCATCCCCGGAGGGGACGCGCAGGGGGCAGCGGACTGATGTTCCACTATCACATCGCTCTCTCTCTCTCCTTCTCCCTTCCTCTCTCTCTAAAAACCAATGGGAAAAATATCCTCAAGTGAGGATTTAAAACAAACAAAAAAAATCAATAAAAACTCTTTTTAAAAAAAGGAATCAATCAACGAATGCATAAATAAGTGGAACAACAAACCCATGTTTCTCTCTCTCTCTCTAAATCAATCCAAAAAAAAAAAATCTTGGTAAGAGTGTCGATCTCACATCCTATCTCAATTAAAAGCCAAAACAGACAGCTTTGAATCCCACTTCTGCCCTTCCCGCCCGGAGCTATGCAAGGTCAGCGAAAGGTCGGCAGCTGGGGGCGCAAAGCAGGGCCCAGGTGAGCGGCCCGCGGCCTCCCCACCCGTCGCTGCTGGCGGGAGCCGAGCGCTCACACCTGAGCGGGAGAAACAGGCCTCAGCCCATTCCCATCAATCAGGAGTCAGCGGCCGAGGGAGGGCAGAGACCCACAGCCGATCGAAGGGCAGGCACAGCCTTTTCAGTTTTGGCGCCTGCAGATGCTCCTCGACGGGACGACCAGCAGCCTGGAGCGCCCGCGGCCGCGTTGGGTGAGTGTGTCTCCTCTGGGGCCTTTCTCTCCCCTTCCTCTCCCCCTCTCGGCGCTTCCTGCGGGCCTGGGGTGCATAAGAAACGAGGCGGAGGGTACCCCAAAGGACCAAGTCCTGCCCCTCGGTTGCGGAAAGGATGTTCTAAGGGCAAAGCGCTTAAATTCGCGGAGAGATGGTGCAGCCAGCGCTTCTCTTGAAACCTCCGTGTTTCCAACACTAAGCTAGGCGAGAGGAGGCTGCCCCGGACCCGGACCCGGACCCGGACCCGGACCCGGACCCGGACCCGGACCCGGCCCCGGTCCCGGCCCCGGCGGGTCAGAGCGGCCTGCCCGCGGGCCAAGGTTGCCCGTTGAGTCCCCGGGCAGGGCCCGCACAGGGATTAAACCAACAAATGCACAAATAAGCGGAACAACAAATCGATGTTTCTCTCTCTTCTAAAGTCAGTGTTGGATTGGAGGGCTCTGGGTATCTGAACTAAGGAGAAGTTATGAAAACACCCCAAGCCGAAGTCTTAGGCTCGGCTGGTCTCTCCCTGCTGATCGTGAGATTTGTGCAACCTGGGGAGAGGGGAGAAGGCCGGGATCCTGGCCGGGGAAAGGAGGGAGGGAGGCAGGGGCCGCAGGCAGGTGGGAGACAAGGGTGAGACCCGCCGCCCTGTCCTCTGGGTGACTGGCCTCCATCTACTAACCCCACTACCCGGAAGTCCTGGTGGGCCCCCGTTTTCTGCTAAGTCGTGTGTGAATAATTTCGTGGCCAGTGTTGGTTCTGAACGAGCGGAAGCGGAGGGGGGAAGTGAGCCAGGTGCTGTGGGTTGTGAAGACTGAAGCGGTTTGGGCCCGACCGCAAGGGCTGGGGCCCAGAAGGTGCTGGAGCTTCACATCTGACAAGAGAGGGTCCGTGGGACGTTAGGGCGTTTCCATGGGGGTGCCCGCCCCCCGTCTGGACCCTGCAGTGTGAGGGGGGGGGCTAACCAGCCAGCATCTGAGAGGCCTTCAGGGGACACGAATGCCATGTTCAGGGAAAGGTTTCAGCTGGAGAAGGAATGTTTAGAGAAAAGCCTTAAGACACAAGAGTTTCATTTTGTTTTATTGATTTCAGAGAGAGGAAGGGAGAGAGAGAATCACCAATGATGAGAGAGTCACGGATCGGCTGCCTCCCTCACGCCCCCCACTGGGCACCGAGCCCCAACCCGGGCAGGTGCCCTGACCGGGAATCGAGCTGTTATCTCCTGGTTCCTAGGGCAACGCTCAACTACTGAGCCACGCCAGCCGAGCAAGAGGGGTTTTTTTTGTTTGTTTTTTTGTTTTAATTGTGGTAAAATATCCATAAAACAAGGTTTACTATTTTAACCATTAAGATGATTAATTGATTGATTGATTGATTGATTGATTGATTGATTGATTGATTTGAGAGAGGGAGAGAGAGAAACAACAGTGTGTTGTTTCACTTACTTATGCCCCACTGGCTGATTCTTGCATGTGCCGTGAGCAGAGACTGAACCCACAACCGTGGTGTATCCGGATGACGCTCNCTTCCTCTCTCTCTAAAAACCAATGGGAAAAATATCCTCAAGTGAGGATTTAAAACAAACAAAAAAAATCAATAAAAACTCTTTTTAAAAAAAGGAATCAATCAACGAATGCATAAATAAGTGGAACAACAAACCCATGTTTCTCTCTCTCTCTCTAAATCAATCCAAAAAAAAAAAATCTTGGTAAGAGTGTCGATCTCACATCCTATCTCAATTAAAAGCCAAAACAGACAGCTTTGAATCCCACTTCTGCCCTTCCCGCCCGGAGCTATGCAAGGTCAGCGAAAGGTCGGCAGCTGGGGGCGCAAAGCAGGGCCCAGGTGAGCGGCCCGCGGCCTCCCCACCCGTCGCTGCTGGCGGGAGCCGAGCGCTCACACCTGAGCGGGAGAAACAGGCCTCAGCCCATTCCCATCAATCAGGAGTCAGCGGCCGAGGGAGGGCAGAGACCCACAGCCGATCGAAGGGCAGGCACAGCCTTTTCA